CTGTGTAGGACAATATACTAACTTGGACGAAGGGCGCTCCTGCAGTTCCTTGTGTAAGCCAAATCTCTAGCAAATGCAACTACCATTCAGGATGGACGACTAATACGTGGCGTATCAATTTTCTTAACCCATCTCATTTCGCTCCATGGGGATTCAAACCGTCATCTCTTGCTTGCTGAGCAATGTGGTTCCACTTGCACTATCGGGGCACCATTTCACATTAATTTAGCTTCTAGTTTCAAAGAGGACTTCCTAAAGTGGCGCGAGAGTAAAACGCGCTATTGTCTCACACTCATCGACTTGAGAAACGCCTTTGACCCTACAAAGACAGTACTTGTCATGTAGGCCATTTAACAACAAGGACGCTATAGACTCAGTAACATAAAAGGCTACTGTCATGACGCTTCACAACTTTTCACAGTCGAGAATTTTTTTCCTACTTTAACAAAGAGGGCTCTTCAGCGTGAAGCGTAAGGGGTATGGAAAGAAGTGACCCATCTCACATCCCTAAAATTTCTGCTTGCTCGTAAGGAACGGTACGTGCCCTCCTGGCTCGCGGGGGCAGAAGTTTTGTAATACAAACCGGTATTCCTCTGAATCATTGCAAGCCCACTTGCAGCGAAGTCAGCCAGTTAGACTAATCCAAAGACAGGTCAAAATTAGCACTATTGAGTGGTATCTTTTCACCATACGCATACTCAGCACTAAATAAGTCTAAGTGGCATGACTTCGTTAAATGCACTGTTTCCGGTCCAGGGAGCGTTTCAACCATCCCTCCTACCCAAGCCGAGTACTCTGGCCCAACCACAACACAACATTCTTCTGATATGTATCGCATGGCTAAAACCGCAGGTACTGTCAAAAACAAGCCAATATTCAAGATTTAAGTTTACACAAACGTAAAGGGATTCAGTATTGGCTGATATTTTGGTAATAAGAACAATCGATTGTAATCGTCAAAATCAGTGATAGCAAGAAGGTGATTCGAGCTTCCTACTCGATAATTTTTGTTCTAAATGTTCTATTAAAAGTTAAAGGACGAATTTACGATGGAAAAGCAACCCATTCCAAATTGAGGTAGAGATGGTGAGTAGTACCAGAAAGAAAGCGAAACCACGAAAAACGGCCCAGAACCGGAGAAATGGGACCCCTTCCTTGTCCGTTGATTTGAGCATTGATGGGACTCTCATCGCTTTGCCCTCTTCAACCCTACGCTCTCTCAGCTATCTAATCACTCGCCACCTATTGTACTACGGCGAGTGATCAGACGATCGGTGGGCGGAGATCGCCGAACTCGCCAACTTTGAGCCATGCTAGATCTCAGAGGTCAAATCTTTCGATGCCGATTGCGTGTCTGTCCGCACCCTCAAGAGATTCACCGCTCTCCCCACTAGGCGATTTCTCCCTTCTTCGACCTTCGTTCTTTCCGTGCAATCCTCCTTTAAGTTAATCAAGTCCTTTATTACGAAATTTCATGTTCAGTTTTTTGAAACGTTAGCATTCCGAATACTGAGCACTTCTTACGTATCGTACACATTTTTTTATGATGTAAACTCTCCATAGGTAAACGGTTCGTTACCACGCCGTCTTCAGGGTCTGCGCGTGCACTGGGCTCCAACAGCTCCTTACTTTATGAACAACGTCATCAGGGATCCACAGAAATCTTATCGTTGAATCGTCTGCATCTTGGACTTCTAAAACCAAGATTGTTTCAAAACCGTAGAGCGTGCGAAGGTCCGTGTGATAGTATGGATTTTGTTTGTATAGAAGGAATGTTTATCTCAGTAATAACAATTACACAAAAAGGTAAAGCAAACGGCGTTGATACAATCTCTTTTCCCTGGTGTTGCGCCACACATTCTACTTCCCACACAGAGACGTATGTGTGGATGGTTCAGTGCGATTCACAGTTAGGGTGATTTTTCTTTCGAGTTTCGTGCTAAAGGTCTCGGCGAACAGAACTAAGCCCTCTTGTACACGCCCGCTAACATGAAATGGGCTCCCATACTTTTTTTTGTTAATTGCCGTTATTGATTATTATAACTTTCTTATCTAGTGCCTATATCACATAAGACTTGTGTGAACCAAATCCAATGTAGAAGTTAATGCTTTATACTCCAAAACAAGTCTGGTACCAATAGCCGACCCTGGTTGCATGGAAGGCTTGGTCAACTTAGACGTTGCCTATTTGATTTCGGGGCCATGCGCATGATAAGCAGCCCCGCTTGCCCCCGTATAACCGTATACGACTCCCTGAACTGGGTCCTTAAACCCCCCTCACCGCGATGCTCCCGCCTGCGCTCTCTGGCCTAAACAACGGCTCAGGCTATTTAATACCTCACAGTCTCAGCTCAGGTTTTGCCCACCCGTACATTGTCGAGCTCGGAGTACCACTCTGCTTCCGAATTCAGAACTATTTAATGACGGCCTAACACAAAGCACCTCTCATGTTCCTCCCTGGGATGTCGAGCCCATTGAGGCGCCGCCATTCCTTTCGCCGTTCGTCCATGTCCAGCCATTCGCGACAGGACCATTGAGGAAAATTCAAGTAGTTCGCAAACCGTTTGTTCACTACCATAACAGTATAAGTGTTAATTACGTTTGCATAAGGCACACGTGAGAAATAATTGACACCATTATGAATCACATGAACTGAACAAGAAATAACTACAAAACACCTATATTTTTAAGAACAACGAGCTTTGGTAATCAGTCTCAAAAAATGCTATGAACCTCTAGTTCTGAGTAATATATTAGATATTCGTCGCTTGAATTGTGCTTGTGTTAAAGAAGCGGGTATATTTTTCGCTATATTCAAATAATCACTACCGGCTCTATATGTGAAGTTCTTAGCACGCACATTACTCTTGGGTCGCGTTAATGATATTTTCATGGATCCACCTCTAGTTCTCGAATATGACATTTTGAAGACATTGGAAAATCCAGACACATAATAATTCTGTACCAGTTTATGAACAAAACATAGGTCAAACACTCTGCGCCTCCATTCAAGAGATGTCAGTTTGAGACTATTATTCCTGGTAGCCGCGTTCGGTATATTATAGTACTGGAAAACCTCCCATTCTAATGAATAGTTTACGTGTAAAATTATTTTGAACTTTTTCAATTGCGTAGATGTGTTTCTTTTTGAAGGGGTTGAATACTGTAGTGCTGGACTCAACTAATGGCCTTACGTAAGACAATGAATCAAGATATCTTCCTGCAGCATATGTGCAAGTATAGTAGGTAACGGAATTAGCTGGGCAGTACCGCAGTCGTCAAGACATTCTGGAAGCCCTATTAAGAGTGCAAAATTTTCTCATGGGTAATTTCTCGATTAGGCGGCGATAATGTGGTAGACTTGTTTTTCAGTTCAACTACCTATTTATAATTCCTTTTAAGGGTCGTCTTCCAAAAGGACATTCAGTTAAAAGCGTATAGCATATCCTTAGCATCGTGGGAATCAACAATTTTCACAGAGACTAGTTGAGTAGATTTCTTTTGTTTTTAGGTCTCTTGGAATACCTCTTACAACATATCTGGATGGCTGGACATAGGAAGTATGTTTCTCATTCCTGAGCCGATAGGTTGTTGCGTGGGTGTTCTAAGGATAACCGTTGGTTGAGTTGTGCTTGGTGATCCATTGCGGTATTGATGTATTTTTCGTGTCTGTATATAAACATGGATTTTAAATAATTTTTATCAAATGGGGAGTTGCACGAAATTTGAGATCAATAATCACAATTAATTCACAGTACACAATTGAAATGGAAATTACGTTGATTGAGATCAGCTCTGAAAAGTAAGCAAAGTTAGCTGAAGAGCAGCCAACGATTCTACTCATGACGATAATGAATACATAAGATGGACGACAATAAGCTTACAGTCTCCTATATAACCTTTGTTTCTGAAAACCTGGTGCGTGTTGAGTGCAGACCACACACCACAAGACGACTGCCACAAAATGTAAATGTTTTCTGCCAATGAAATGATTAGCCTGTTGCAGTTGTATTCTATCAGTTGTCACTAATTACAACTATCATTTATCAACTATCAAATTACTAGTTATCAGATTTACTTGGAGCCGTCGTCACTTGTGGTGTGTGGTCTGCACTCGGCACACACCTGGTTCTCGGAAACAGAAGCTAAAGATCTCGGTGCTAGGCGGAGGGACGAGCAGAGATGTACCCGTGGATAGAAAACTGTATTTACAGGTGCGAACATTGCATATGGAATGATGACGCTCGAGATCAGCCGAAATCAAGGGGTGTCGGTCAGGAGGGCCACCGCCCACGGCGAAGCGACGTCGTAAGTGATGTCGTATGTTGTAGAAGGTACGGTATCCAGCGCGTCTGCGTCTCTGCGCCTCTGTTGCGCGATGGACCTCCTGACCGACGTCTTAACTTAAATGATCGTTCTACAACCGGGGGATGCACACGGTGGGGGAGAACAACTGTCAAAGTGGTAAGCCATTTAAGGGCTTTATTGCGCCAAACTTTAAAGCTCAAGAAAATTCGTTGAAACCTAAACTTGAATGGTTATTTGGCGGTCTGACTACGAATATGTTACATTTTTGGCGCAAGCGCCATTTCGCTCCTGCTTAGGCGCGCTTTTACTAAAATAACGTCTAAGTCCAAGCTCACAATGAGGAGATAGGGTTCGAATGGAGGAACTACTCACCGTGTGCCAGCAACACTCCAACTTTGTCACATGTCGGAGGCTACCCACCTTTTCAGAGCCTCTCTCCTCCAAGTTTAGATTAGACGCTATCCCTGGAGAGCTTGGACGAACAGGAAACTTATAGTTTGATTTCAAATGGCTTCAGCGCCAAAATGCGTGCCAAATACGTGATCAGAACGCTGAACAGCGTTTATAGGTGATGCCTTAGCTGGTTCTACTTGGGTTCTTGGGGTTGTGACCTGGGTTGCCAATTAGAGACCGGTGGATATCGGTGGAAAAATGTCGCTTGTGTGCTACATAGTCGGCCGTTCGTACGATTATAAGACGTGGCGTATTCGGTGACGTGATCGTGTATGTCGTCGTTGTTGTGTAGGAGGATTGGAGAAGATGTTCACGCATGTCCGAAAGGTGTCGCTAGAGAAGCATGACGACCTGAAATGGTTGAAATTATTTTTTGCGATACTTGTTCTTCCTGAGTAGCCAGGTCCTTCCACATATTTCTACTTGAGCAAGACGTGAATTTTCAGTTACTCATTCATTATATGTCGGGGTAAATGGGAGTGGAATAGCATTCCTGTCATTACAGAATCGAACAGCGAAGTCAGGCACCTGTGGCTCAAGAGGTTTCAGAGCGAAAATGTATGTGATAAATTCGAGCCGAAAATGATGCTGATTCCACCAGATGGGTGATCCGTGACAAGTAAAAATTATGAATCCGGCGCTCAACTCCGCGGTGTCGTATCACAAAATAAAAACGTCGTGCAGACTCTTCGTACCATTAAAATTTGATCGCTTCAACGAACCTCGAGCATCGGGTGTTCGATATGACAACCACCAGTGCGAGCTCGCAGCTCGGAAACGCCTCGGTGCCCATATCGCTGGTGAGATAAGCCACACCTTTTTTGTAACAGATTACCTCAGAACCGGTTTTCGAACTTCCGTCGAAGTTTATCGGGTTCTAGGGTCGGCTAGTTGGTACTGGACTCGTTCGAAGGACAAAAACAATGGCTTGTATTCGGGCTATTCCAGGCCTGTCACATTCGTATGCAACTACGGTTGCTTGTGAAATTAGAATGCGTAGCGTATCCCAGAAAGAAATTGATCCACGCTGAAAGCTTCAGTCTTCAATGCTTCTTTTTCTCTATGGAGATTTGGGCGACAAGACCTTCGCCGGGCGAAAGCTGCTTGATTATGGGACTTATGGCAAGATCAATCGTGTATCGTAATGAAGATGTTCTTAAGGGTTCAATGGAGTGGATAAAATCGATCCAATATTTATTTTGCTTACTTAAACAAACGGAGGAGTCAAGGGGCGTGGGTTTTTGGCCGCAGAGGGGAGCAGGGTTTTTTCAAAGAGCACGGTCCCTGCGCTCCTAAAGGAGCATTCCACGACAAGAACGAAGGTCGAACAAGTAGAAATTACTGTGTTGAGAGACAGGCGGACCCTCTAAGGGTGCTGACCAACACGCAATTCGCATCGAAAGATTGCCCTGGCGATCTAGCATGGCCTTCTCTTTGCGCAGTTGGCGCGGAACGCCCACCGACTATCTAATCACTCGCCGCAGGTCTATACGTGGCGAGTGATTAGATAGCAGAGAGAGCGTAGTGGCACAGCGATGAGAGTCGCATCAATGCGCAAATCAACGGGCAAGGAAGGGGTCCCATTTCTCGGGTTTCGGGCCGTTTCAATGGTTTCTTCTTCCCTGCTCCACTAGACCACCTCTACCCTTATTTCCAATGAGCTACCTTTTCATCGTAAAATCTGCCTTGAAATACATCACACTCGAAGCTACTGATCAGTCACAAGCATCGTACCGCTGCCGAAGCCTACCCTACCCCCATGGTTCATTCAGGTTTGCTAAACGATCTCGAAATAAAACTAAAAGTTATTGATACCAATTTAAGTTCCACACAAATCGTGGCTTTGAGCGCTACAATCTACTTAAATTGTCCGCGCTGTTAATTATTAAACTACTAATCATAAATCTCTATCACGTCAGGTTAAATTGTAAATACAAAGCAAAATAGACTTCACGGAAACTATAAAAACCTTTGTGCTAATTTTGCAAAGGCAGCCAGCATATGTAAACAGTCTGCGAAACTCGTCTCACCTCCACTACTCACAAATCTATAAAATCTTATCCCTCCATACGTCAAAGCTTGTAGATAGGAGGGTTACGGCACGGAAACGTGGGGGTTTTTTCCAGTGGGGCTCTTATCAGACGTCTATCGGACCAGTCATTGCGTTATTCTTTAGCCTACTGAATTTTTTTCCAAAGAAATTAGCTAGCTACGACGCCCTCGATACCCGCTGAAAAATTGAAGTTCAATTCAATTCCCTGTTAGGGTACGCCATGCTCTTAACTGTTCTAAAGGTCATTGACTGTAGTTATTTAGCTAACTACGGTGCTTGGCTTTTGAGCTTTAAAGTACGCTAAGGATACCTGAGGCTCCCGCTACTGGGATGAACATATGGCGATATTAGCCCAAGCGCTATTGAAAGGAGCGTATTGAGGAAATAGGGCATAAGCGAGCGGGTTCCCAGGGTGTCATGGACTCATCTCTCGAACAAACGGAATCCGCCAGTGCATTCTAGCGCACGAAGGAAGCCAAGGCTAATTGTAAGGTTAAAAGCATGGAGCGATAAGATTGCAACTTTAGCAGAGTTGAGACAGCTTATGATTAGCAGACTGTTTACTTACGTCACATACTTTTGCAGAATCAGCAGCATTTCATAGTTTTACAAGCTGTCTGTTTTGTTCTGTATGTGCAATTTATTCTTCCCACGCTGACGTACATGTCTGTGTTTACAGAAAAAGCAATAGAGATTTCTATTTTTTGCTATAGTCTGTAATTTGTAGACTGTTGGTCCCGTTCGAGGAATGCCTCACAATTTCCAAGCATTGTTCATCAGTAATCAACTGACGTGATATGGGTAGTGAAGACTATAAAAATGGTTAGAGATGTAGCTTGATGCATAATAGTGTAAAATCTTTGGTGGTGAATCGAAGCTCACAGAGACTGCGAGCTATTAATACAAGTTCTGCTTATTATATTTGTTTTCAAGGAAAATGCTTGAGAAACTGTCCCGATGCAGATAATAGTGCTTAATCGTTCGACTGCATCTGTGAGACGATCCATGTGGAAGTGTTAGGTGCCTTGTGGCCTCGAAAATCTTCTCATGAATATGGCAGTGAAAGCTGGACCAGCGTTAGTGCGTGCTTCCATTTCGACAGGATAAATCATCGTGCTGCACTTGCCCTGAGAAGTGTACCCGTTTTCAGTTTTCTAGGTATTGTAGCCCCCTCTGAGTAAGTCAAGGATCATAGTACTTGAACGAATTTGCCTTTTGATGGTGCTTGCGCGGTGCTTACTTGAATCCCGGCGGAAATGTTAACTTGACCTCTAAGTGAGCACGTTTTCCGACCAGAGGTGGTACTAAGAAGAATAAGGTGTTAAGATGTATATTTATATGTGAATAAAAATAAGCTAGAACCTAAAGGCATAGTTCCGGGATGAGTTCCCTTGAATGAAGCCTTCTACATAGTGGGCCGTCGAAAAAGCCGTATAAAATTCAAGCAACAACCCAAACTAGTGGGGTATTCAGTGAAAGTGTGGACGCCGAACTGACTGAAAATGAAAAAAGGAGAAGCTAGCAAATCGCCAATGAGGCCTTCACAAGGGCATCCTCCCTTTTCCTCGAAAGAAGGCGGGGCGTGTCTGGACGAGTTATCTGGGCTTGTTTGCTCCATGGCTTTACTAACCCGCGCGTATTTGAGTTGCTGCTCACCGTAATCATGCTGTGATCATGTGGTGTGCGCCACGACGGCTAATGGCTAATGAAGCCACTGGACGGAGGTATCCCGTCAATTGGCTTACATTAGACTCCATGAGCTCACTTTATAAGGATCTAGTGCCATTGTCGCGCACTTTTTAGCCGCAACAACGGTACTTCTATAATACTCGTGGGCTTCACCATCTTACCCTTTACATTAGTGATTCCTTACGATCTCATTCAGGGTTGTTCCTAAGTCAGATGAGATTAATGAGTGACTAGATGCAGATCATTTAGGATGTGCCATGCGGCAGATCTCCATGTAGAATTGAAAAGATTTTGCAAGGACGCTGGGTGATGGACAAATCACCTAAGTCCAAGCGGAAATGGAACTCGCATTTCTCACATTCTGGGCAGATGTGCAACCGACTATCCCACTTTGAATGCAAGAGTGCAGATTCCAAGTCAACCCTGGGTGAAGTGCTTAGTCTACAGCTGAGCATTCTTGCAACCATCTTCTTATCTACGGTCAAAAACTGCCGGTAAAATAAAAAAGGGCGGAAGTGGTGTAGTGGCAAGTGGCACGCTTACCACGCGAGCGGTCCGGGGATCAAATCCTGGGTCGTGAGTCGCCCGGGCCAACCAAGCCTTCCATCCCTCCGGGGTCGGTTAATTGGTACCAGACTTGTCTGGGAGGATAAAAAACACTGACTTGTACATCGGCTGGCCCCGCAAGTCATTGTATAGGCCACATCGCATTCAAACGCCACTACGAATGTACAAATGGAAGTAGAATGCGTGCCGCATCCCAAAAAGGGATTGATCAACGGCAAATGCTTTATCCTTTTTTATAACAATAAAACCAAGCCAAATTTAAGCTTTCAAGTCCACGGAGATGTCGAGCTAGTACGAGGTCCGTGCTCTACCATAGACTGCTTGATAGCAAAATTTGCTAGTAGGGTGCAGGAGGTGCAGCGGCAGATGCACCTAGAGTCACAGTTTGGATCCCCAAAGCAATTGGGATTTCCTGACCCACACCCGAACTCGGATAACTCAACAATACAAGCGTATTCATGAACCGATTCGTGTAGATGTGCGGTTCGTCAAGGTGTGAAAACCGATGTCATCAACCGAGAAGTACCGTTCACGAGGAAAAATGACCGTTTAATTTGAGGATCTACTAGAGGGTAAAAATAGCGCTGACGAACAACATAAGCACTCAGAAAGCTGCTAATTGCCCTGAATTCTTGAAGCCAATCCTTGGGAGACTCAGCTCCACTGCATTCCGAAGAGATAGAATTTGACAAGATCTCGACCTGTCTATGTGACGCAGTTGAGATGAGCACTTATAGGCTCCCATAAATCCAAAGAAACACTTGCAAGGCAAAGAAGGCTTATGAGCTTACAGGATCGTCGGGAACATCATTTTCCCCTGATTCTTTCTGTACTTCTCAGCCACTCAAACTTTTCACTGATGAACCTTCTCCAAGCTGTAGGTGAGATCAACAACTGAAGTGAATGAAGTTCAAGAGCGGATTTTAATGATCTGTATTCCAACAACAAAAAGTTCTCACACCTCCTATAGAAATATTGTGGAAACCGCTCGAAGCCACGAACATACGATGGCAAACAAGTGAGCGAGGAACGTAGAAAATTATTTAGTATATGTGTCAGGCAAAATCGCCGACTTCGCGCACGACCAAGCCACCGCGCATGATCAGTGACAATTATCTTTTGTGCTGTGGCATGTGATTTCGAGCACTGTTTCTAGCCACGGCGCTTCTGATCGCTAATCCAAGATTTGAAAAGGACACAACCCTCTGAGATTTCCTTTCGGAAGGAGTACCACGCAGGAGGCCGGTCCGAGCTTTACCCATGAGAATTCGACGCCCGAAACTGATCATCTGGTTTCATAACGCACCCTTTATCGATCTTGATCCCTTGAATACCTCGAAAGTTTAGAAAATCAAAACGCTCATTTATGGGGCTTATTGCGCCCGCACTTTCGTAGGACCTATTCCTTCTGGCCAACCGTCTTCACCTCTCCCTCTCCTAGGTGGAGCTGGTCTATATGTCTTACCTAGCATCACTCTTAAGCTATGAATATGGACGGTTAAGCTAAGGCCCATACAGAAATCGCCGCACTACTAGCCGCGCGCGGTGCCGCCGTACCTCATTGGCTCGCGATTGAACTTGGTCGTTCTCCCGTTCATCGACTATTTCTGGAAGTCCCTGTATGAACTATGAATTAAGTGCACAAATGCGAAATTTTCTACAGCTTGAAATTTCCTACAAACCTTACTTTTTTTTAGCATATTTGTGTCCTAACTTTGACCCCGCTCTATCGTGGTTTCTTATGTGAGTTCTTTGGAATTTGCTGATTGCATCTTTCATAGAAGCCGCTAGCGAAATCTGTGCAACCAATTCGTTGGATTGTTTGTGAGACATTGTAGTCTATTCAGGAAACGTTTCAAAAGAAAACAAATATAGGTTTTCCATAGAGACGTCAGAATATATATTTAGAAAAGAGGGCGCTGATAGGGGTAAAGTTGGGCATATGGCTTGACACGGTTCAGAACGTAGCGCCAGTCGGTCTGATGTTTACTGATTGATAATCCGAAAATAGAGAACTATTTCCGATCAATCAATATTCATCTAAGCTATTGGCGACATGAAAAGAAGGAGTGCGATATATGCTGATTTGATCAAAAATCGTATGTAAGTCAGGCTGTGGAATCACCCGGCTGCCCAATTTCAAATTTTTGGAATCGCAGGCGCTACGGGAGTCGGCCCTGCGGTCCTAAAGGGTCCTGTACTTTTATTTCTGGGATTGAAAATTCCTGGAAAACTTCACCGACCTGCATTCTGATCGCATATTCGGCTTTTCGTGGCTGGTGATCTCATGACAGAATTCGCAAATCTTTTCGGCCACTTCCAGCAATGGACCGCCTTCCAAAATCGGGCATTCCTCGTCTTGTTGTTCAAATTCGACTGCTGTAGAAATACTAGCCAAAACGGTTAATAATAAAACTATTAGTGCGACCGAGCATGTGAACAGCGATGCCATCGCTACTGCGACGGAACGATTCACTTTCCAGCGGCCACGCCTTTTATGCGAGATATCGCAGAAGGCCCCGCCTCCTGAACCTCTTCGCAACAGGCACGGCTATAATCACGTCATGAACCGCCAATGGTGTTTTCCGAGTTGTTTCTTTGGGTAATTACAGTAAACAAGTGAATAATATATGGCAACTACGTAATAGTTCTTATTTTAGGCGGTATAACAGCCTCACTGCTCATTTAAAACTACTTGAGAGCCAGGTTTGGGCACTCCATATATGTCCCCCATCGAATATCCTCAATGGGGGCCATATATGGTTCCCTGAAAGGAAGAAGGTCGTAGATTGAATTGGTAGTGTAGTTTTGTAGTTGAGGATCTTTTGTCGGCTATCTCCTCCAGCCAGACAGAACACAGTATAGAAAAAATAAATAAATAAACTAAATAAACAAACAAACAAACAAATATAGAGGAAGGTGAAAAATCATGAATACTACCCTTCAAAGATGCGCCATGCATTCGATTTCTATCCAGTCTAGATTACTGTAGTACTTATCTGTTGGGACTGAAGTTTCGGCAGACTTTCGAAGCTTGACGGATAGAATTCGACTCACAAATTGTCCTATGAATTTCGGACCAACTACATCATATAATTAATAGATAGGTATGTTCTCGAACCATGTGATGCCTAGAAAAGGTGCAAATTCAGTTTGGTGATGGGGAGGGGGCACTCCACTGTGTTCTCAAATACTCAGCATAAGAACTAGAGCGCTAATGATACTTTACCGAGTCACATATGAAGCTTCTTCATGATAAGTACCGATGTAGTGTGGAAGTAACTCTGGGGTGTCTTCACAATTTGGCTTGCAATGGTCCAAGGAAAAGGTTCTTAACAACGGCAATGGAGGTCTTTGCCTCGGTCTGAAAGGTGCGGGAGCTTCAGGGTGAAGGGCTTGTTGCAGAACGTTGGATAGATGTAGGCAGGATCTGTGGAATGTGGGACATCCATCGGTCTTTAACAAAAGTACTTTTCGAATGAGTTGTTCACATTATCTTCTTTAGTGTTAAAAAACCCAAAGGAGTGCTCTCCAGGAATGAGGGCGGGGCCAACAAGGAGCCCCCTCTCCAAACTAAATTTTCGCGCAATGGCAATCTCACGGAAAGTTTACAAGACTGTGATCTGATGTGTTCAGGTCCGATCATCGCCTTATTACAGTATACAGTGCGTTGCAAAATCATAGGACCCCCCCCCCAAAAAAAAATGAATATCTCGGCTTCTAGAAAAAGCCGTCTATCGCAACTGGTAGAATCAGAACCGCCTCTATAAAAAACCTATACAAACAAGTAGCCAGATCATCCGAATAGTTTTCCGTATTTTTAGACAATTTTTTTAGTTTTGTAGTCGTTGCAAAATCATAGGACACCCCTCGGAAGTCTCCTTACAGTTGAATTTTTTTCCATCCATGGTAGCACCTGATTCCGGTGTATGGTGATTCTATTAGAGTTACGGTTTGAATTGCTCCCTTTCCCTTCGCGAGTGAAAGCCAGTCCATACTTTCTTTATTATACGCGCCTGATGGCTCTACCACGAGCATCGAAGCCATTTTTAGGAGCTCAAAGAAAACCATAGCTTGGTGCTCAAATTCCACCAACGAATAGAATAACATACGGAATAACTACTCTTAGTACATCAAAAACAATTGATACTGGAGACAACTAGCGTAGGGTCCTGCGAAGCGTGCTGCCATGCTCGTTAGTTAGCGTTCTGACTGAAACCAGAGAAGAGAAACTTCAGGTCTGGAACTCAGGATGAGGTTACGCATCACCACATCTTTAGGAAACGATCACGAAAATTTTGTTGAAGGAATAAGTCGAATCCTGGCCCATATTTCTTTACAAGTGAACAGCAGTCATCTGAACCATCAAAGTTAACTGCTCATTACCGAAGAAGCGCGGTCTGAAAGGAACAAATTACTTATTATTTTGAATGAAAAATTGCTCAACAAAGCCCAGCTTCGGCCCAGTCTTTCCTTAGATTTCTCTTCTAGCGCTCACACGTGCACACTATCACAGCATCTCTGCTTTTTTTATCTCCTTCAAAAAGCTTAGTCCCAATAAGACACAAAGTGTGTGCTTTCCCAGCTACGCTCTCACCCTTTGATGACAGGAGCTTGTACCGTACCTCTATTTCGGAAAACGAGAAGAGCGTCGAGTGCAGACCACACACCACAAGTGACGACGGTCAAAAAAGAGAAAAAGCCACGTATTTCTTGGCTGTCGTCACTTGTGATATGTGGTCTGCACTCGACATTCTTCTCGCTTTCCGAAATAGAGGATAGGTGGGTATCAGCACTACATTTCACCTTCTTCTTCCCCAGCCATTTATACGTGTCATGGGCGTCCAGTTCGCAAGGGTGGAGGTGATATAGTGGCATGTTGCGCAACTATGCACTATAGGTTCACCCTGGAAATCAAATACTGGATGGGACTCGCTCAGATTTGGCAAACCCTCGATTGACACCTGGTTGGCTAAGTGATACATTGCTTGGGAACAAGTCCGCGTGGCGATTGTACGCTTGAGGCTTCACGTGGTGTGCACTTTAACCTCAAACACTTAGTCCCTCACCAGCTTCGTTTACTTCCTTGTTTATCGCCAACGGTCTCCTGGATGTTTTGCTCATTTTTGCGCATGTTCTCTCTCCAGAAACTTGATGTGAGTTACAAATTCAATTATCATTCATTGACTATTCTGTTTTCTTGGTGTTTTAGTCATAAAACGGCAATGCACTGGTGCCCAGGGGAAAATCAAAATTATCAGAAGAATAGAAGTAAATCAAGGCTTCTGACGTAGTTGCTCGAGATCACTTGCGTTTCCTGACGTGATCTTTCTTCGAAGTCGACCTTCTGCTACCAGATAACGGCTACTGATCTAGAGGTGTCTGAAGAGCTGACCATGGCTAGAAGCTTGAGCGATAAACTTGGCGGGAGCACGTGGTCTCAACTCCCTAAATTAGGCCATCACATTTTGTGCCAAGTCCCGAGTCAGCTCTACATTTTTGAGAAGTGACCATTGAATTATTGTTGTGTTTGATGCCCTTCGTTGTCTGAGGTAATAGAGATGAAGAGATGAAATCCTTAGGTTGAAGCGTTGAGTATCCGCAATCGCACTCTTCTTCTAGTCGGGGTGGGCAAAAACTACGGTAAGAAGCCTCGCAGTATTTGTTTTCCAACACCGGGAGATTTCCTTCTATATTCTGCGTAATTGTTCTGATAGTTCAGTGTTTCGTCTTTGATTTCGCCACATTCAATATATGGGTTTCTTTCTATTTGTTTATTTATTTATTTATGCGTCCAATGAAGTGCCATGTTGAAGCATCAGAGAAATTAGTGAATTTTAACAAAAACACAAACCAGAGAAAGTCGGTCAGGCAAGCAGCTTCCCCCAGAACTTGAGCAAAGAGTAGGAATGATACTGTGAAGACTGAAACTCGACCTTAGCAACCTTTATTTTTTCCAGAGACAACTATTCCTATATTTCAACGAGCTGTTTGATAGGGTTAGATTGCAACACCGTTCATAGTCTCGACAAACCTTTCGTCGACTACCATTACGAAGTTCATTAGGATGGTAGGATATATCAGCATTCTAGAGTGGAACATTGAAGTTTTCCTGGCTTGCTCCGACACCCACACTTAGCCAAACGAGAAGATTTACGCTTGTTTTGGGAGCGCTCGGCAAAGATTTTGGGTATGCGAAGTCTCAACAGTTTTTGCTTAGGATTCCACATTTTTGGATAGGTAGTTGACTCATTTTTCGAAAAGATCAAAAAAGGTGAGGCCACACCAGGCAGACAAACATTGAAAAATGTCACGAGGCAGCGATTACGGTAGATTTTAGGAGGGTTTAGAGGAGACGTGGGGGCTCAATGGTACGCCAGCGGTGAAAAATGCAGAGAAAACGCAAAACGGGACTTCCTTTTTAGCCGTTGTTTTTCACATGTTGTTATTTCGTTTCAAAATGGAAACTGTAAGTGCGAGAGGAACTGGAACTAGAGAAAAAAAGCAAAAGTAATCATGAAATGCGCTGAAATTGAGGGTATCCTCTTTTTGCGATGGGGGAGTGCTGCCACGAAGATACACTGACGAGAGTGTCAAGGAGAGGGCATGAAATAGCGCGAGACGCAGACACCACCAATTGTACTGCTGCTGCATTGTGAGTAACGGTTGCAGCCACTCGCAATGGTGGTAATAAGTAGATTCAATCGTGCATTGCAGTTCTCAGCGAGGGTCAAGTCGCATTTGGGCTCTTTGCAGGGGGTGGTATTTGGGGTTGGTGAAGACCACAACGGGTGCGGGTCGTTTTTGTTGAAGGTAAGTGGGTCGCAATGGTGGTAGAAGTAGTCGTTTTATACGGGTTTTTACGAAGTTTCAGGAGGTTTGAAAAATTAAGTGAATGTGGAAGTGATATAAATTGGAGGTTCTGCCGCTTCATTGGAGAATTCAACTCCCCTTACTACATCCCTCCTTCCCCTCCCCGCTCTATGGCTGT